AGAGTAGAAGCTACTCTATGAATTTTGGTCAAATAAATTTCATAATTGTAATATGGAAGATTTTGTCGTTTATGTCTGGACGATGAGGTAAGAAATGCTATATCTCAGTGGAGTAAAAGGTAACCATTGTCATAATTTACTCTTGGAGAACACAAGGAAGTCTTATTAGATAATGTTTCAAATTAATCCCCGAGTCTGAAATCGTCGACGCATACAGATACAAACCTGTTACAGTAGATTGGTTTCGTTTGTTGTGTTTTACGTCCTATTAACAGCCAAGCATTGTAATTTAAGGACGTGTCTGGTTTTGGTGATGGAGGAAAACCGGAGTGCCCTGAGAAGAAAAACCACCGACCTACGGCCAGTACCTGGCGACTGCCCCTCGTTTGTCTCGAACCCGTGACCCAGTGGTGGAGTGAACATAGATATAGACGGCCAGACCTCCGCGGCCCTACCCTGTTAGAAATACAGGTAAATAACTGATAGCCTTTTGTAAATCCAGGTACATGTCAGCCCCTGTAATCAGCAACAAACGGGTAAATAACTTGCTGTGGTCATGAGCCTTGTTTTGGTGATGAAGGAAAACCGGAGTACCTGTACATGTCTACCTGCCGCTATTACCTGGCGATTGCCCCATGGTCATGTACAGTTACAGGTAAATTCCTCCGTGATCAGCTATAGACAGGTGAATGATTACTGCCTCGGCGATGTAAAACTATAGGTAATTGTAGAATGTCAGCATCTGTAATTAACAACAAACAGATATAAATAACTACAGCGGCGTTGGAAAGCTACAGGTGATTCCTCCGTGATTAGCAGGAGACAGGTAAATACTGACGAGTTGATGTAAATAACAGGTAATTGCATAATATATGACAATAGTATGTAATACATAGATAAGATGTCAGCCTCTGTGATTAGCGACAAACATAGAAGTAAACAAAAGGTAAGCATCGTATACTTTACACTACATAACACAAGTCAGGAGGAGGAACCGTACACCATTGGTTACCAGTAACACACACACACAAAGATAATGAATGGAAGAAATATAGAAAAAAAAGGAGAAGAATGGGAAGAGTTGGGTGGTGTTATATAGGCGTTCGGCAGAATATCAACATTTATTAGACTTTCGAGTGGTGTACACACTTAAAACCCTTTCTGGAGAATATACTTATTATGCTTCCTATATCGTGGGTCAACATTATAACTTAAATTAATTACTCTCTTAGTTATTGTCCAATTAGAAAAGTTCTCCTTTGCTTGAGGTATTTTGAGGCTCAGATAGTCAGCGAAACATACAGAGATACGTACTATTTAGCATAAATTGCTTCTCCAATTATGTAATAGCGAGTCCATACCTTTTGTCGGTTCCTGCCTCGATACATATCTAAACATATCAAATCTATATCCTTAATTGACGTTTCTATTTATCACAATCAAATGGTAAACGGAGTTGAAATTACTGCATTACAATTAGGTTTTAACCACGATTAGGTTAGTTAAATCTTTTGATCCCCTCCCCCGGCTCTTTTCTCTTTTCTTTTCATAATCTGTTTATATTACGTCACTTGACCAACTTAAATAAGTCGGTTCAGTGTTATATTAGATTTCAACATTCTGCCATATCTTATCGTTATCGTCGAGTCTCGATCTGCCATTTCAGCGATAGTTTGTCTGTCAGACGAGAGTTTAAGAATGGGCAGTGGAGACAGACGACACAAGCGCCGCTTCTATATATCCGGTTCCGGTGACTTGATTTAGATTACACTTCCTGTATGCAGAAAGTACGTGCGTTTACACCAAGGAGGGTCTTTTTCATGTCATGACGTTTCAGTTTGGCCGAATTTATTTGAGACTCATTAACGCCAAAACACACTTTTTTTTCTAAAAGGATATGATTCATCGACCTCATCGACGTCATCAATGTTATAAGTTGATCATTTGCATTTCATGAAGAATGAATAGGAAAATATGCATAAAGTATATGCATACTAATTAAGAAAGCATTGACAACAGTGTGCTCACTCTGAACCGTGCACCAGTGTTACCATTTTCATCGGTTCGCTGAGAGTTTCGTATTGCAGAGAGAACCAAATTTTTCGGCTCGTTTAGTCAATATTCGCATTGAACAGAGTGTGGTTTAGACAGTGTACTAGGTGTAGGTGTATCAGATAAAGGCAATACTTCCACAAGAACCATCCTATGGTTTATTTTACCTAATCATTTAATCATTTTAATTGCATAAATAGTTTTTCACTTATTTGGGGGATACCAAAAAAGTCATTGTTACTTTTTATTTTTTAGATACATAACGTTTTGAACAATGTAATTTTTTAAATGCAAAAATGTGTGTTGCCAATTCAAATATGATATAATATATAACAGTTTAATGCACTTCTTGTGAATGGAAATGGATTTTATAAAATTTCTTAGTTTGTTTTCCCAGCCCTCGGAAATTGAATGAATACATGTATAAAACACCGTATAATTGTAAAGAAGAAATGTTAAACTAAATGATCAGAGGCATACGTTTATGAATTTTGCTTTAGAAAACGAGATATTACCATTTTTTTAAATGCCGCTTCGTAATCTATTGTAAAAATTTGGTTCACCTGTAGGGGAAAACCATAGCCTCATATTAATTAAATGAAAGATGGAAATCCTGACGAATTCGAAGTGCAAGCTTCATGTCAATACACACCCGATGTCAAAATAAACAATACAACTTACAATTCTAAATTTTATGTAGATTTTCTACAATCGTTATAATAAGGATGAGATGCTTACGTGTGAACGATATGGCGACGAAAAATATATTAGTAATAATAAAAAACGATAATTTATATATCACTATTGAAAAAAATGTGATTAACGATTTGATAAGCTTTTATTATTCATACGCCGCTATTCTCTGCAACGATCAAAAGTCACAGGATGTCACGTCGACAACTGTTAAACGTTTAAAACAATGTCGCGCCTGATCAGCTCTGTGTGTCATTCATCTATTAAGATATAAGGATTGTAGACTATGCTGATGGATAATTCAGTCTTCGAGGTTTGCTGTAACCTTGATGGTCAAACTTATCATTATTTCAGTAGTTTCACGGTTAATAATATATATATACTTTATATATTTAATTCGAAATTAATCGATACTCCTCCAAATTTTGAAATTCATAGATTAAGGGGTCTTTAGCTGCGATAACGTAGTTTTCTGATGGCAGAGGAGGCCGGGTATTAATATTAGTACTAGGGGTCTTACGCACTCGCCCCTCTGATTGTACAGTAATTTAGACAATTTAGCTTTCCATCTTTTTGGTCCATAGCATCACTGGTGGTTCCTAGAAACAGCTGAATGATGCCGTGTACTCCATTTTTATAATCAAACTTTAAATGTACAATCACCTCTGTGTGTGGTATGTCCATCTCCCTTCAATTTTGATTTGTTAATTACTATATCACCAACATCTGGTTCGTCTGCCCGCGAACGTTTGTTGCAGTATCCGCTTCATAGTTTATCTTTGAATTCTAATTCATAATTAACAAATGTTAAAATTTAAATTATGTTTTTATTTTCTAATTAAAAGAGGCAATATGTTTTCGAAGCGGAAATGAATAAAGAATGTTTGTGTATCCGTTGTCTTGGCCATCTTTTCAGGGCCCGTATGCACTAAACTGTTCTCATACTCGAGCATGGATTCTGTACTTAACTTACCTTTTTTTGTAACTCGCTTAAAGCGTGTGACCCAATCAAAATGTCAACTGTAAACATGTAAAGTGATATTTGGCTTGAATCTCTCTAAAACTCTTCCATATCACTGACAAAATGTGGATATATATGGTGATATATTACCTCAGCAAGAAATTGCTCAAAGAAAATGGATATTAAATGAAAATATAGATGATGAAACATGGAAAAAAATATATGAATGTCCTTTTAAAACCACCAACAACTCCAAACTACAGTGGCTACAGTACAGAATAAACCACAGAATTCTCACTACAAACACATTTTTATTCAAAATTGGCAAATCACACAATAACCTTTGCACTTTCTGTAAAATTCACCCTGAAACAATAGTTCATATGCTATGGGATTGCGAAAAAATTGATAGGCTAATTGACGAGCTGAAAACAAATATTATAACTAAAAACCTTACACTAAGATTTGAAAAACAAGAATTCCTTTTTGGTAAACATACATATAACCATACAAAGTTTTATATAGAAAACATCATAATACTACTTATAAAACAATACATATATAAAACTAAATGCCTAGAAATTGACCTTAATCTGACTAGTCTCAAAAACCATATAAAATTTGAATTAAAAGCACAAAAGATCCTTGTGTATAAACAGAATAAATTAATAAATAAG